TACTCTCGCCCTCTATCTATTTTTTTTATTTATTATTTTGTAGATTTAAATTAATTTGGTGACATCAAATAAAGTTACAATTTTTTATGAATTTATTTGTAAAAAGAGTCTTCTAAAGTTTTTTTTTTTTGCAAGGTTTTCTACAAATTTGCTCAATTTTTTGGAGAATTTTCTACGCATATTTTCTGCAGGAAACTTGTGAATTTTCCTGCAAATTTTTGTGAGGATTTCTTGCTTGTGGATTTAAATGTAGAATTACTTGAATTCTTTTAGCAAAAAATTTACCTGCATATTTGTTTTCGGAATTTGCCGTAAATTTATTTACAAATTTTTTAGATTTTTTTTGCACAATTTTTTTTTTTGGGAGAAAGTTACCTGCAGATTTAACCCTTTTAAAATCTTAAAAAAAGTACCTATGGATTCTACTCTTGGCAAGAAAAATTATTCATTAAAATTATTACTATAATCTGCAGCAAAATTCACAAGAAATATATTTACTGTGAATTTTTAATTTTTTTTGAAAAAAATTGTAAAAAAAAAAAAACTTGTATTCTAATAGTGTACCATTACGGCTAACAATTATTAGTTATATGATCAAGGGATGATTAGGGTCCAAACAATTTATTTTAGTGGCATATATAGACTTTTAATGTTTGAATTCATTTATATCGATGAACACTATCCAGCATGAAAGATACAATTGTGTGGCCAATCTTCTTTCTCTTACTCTACCCTATCCCATGTACTATTATGGCAAGACAATAAAGGTAAAACTTTGTTGCACTTGAGGAGGAAGGTCTTGAACCATGCATTACTAAAATCAAAGGATAATAAGCTAGCAAAAAACCAAGAATATATTACGAACCATAAAGGAATAATTTATGCAAATAAAAAATTATGAGATGCAAAGATTGAGAGAAAATTGTCAAGTTCTACAAGAAACCGTTTGGAGAAATAATATAATAATCATACTATTCAACTATAAGAATAAAGCTTTATAATTATAATTTAATGTGCTCAATTTAAAATCTAGGTTGGAGGATAATTCTATCAGAACCAATCACCTAAGTGTAGAAAAATGTATTAGAAGAGAAGAATGACTACTTGAAAAAAAAATCAAGTTTTTGAAAGATTAATTCAAAATCTTAATACATAAGTCTTGCATTCTCGTCCATAAAGCTAACAAAATTATTAAAGAGTAATGTTAACAATAAACTTTATATAACATGTTTTTTTATTATTAATTAAAATTTATTAAAAATTATAAAAATTATTTAAATTTTACTCTTTTTTATCTTTAAATTCATTTTTTTATATATATTTTTAGTTTTCAATAAATTTTATTTAATACTAAGAAGTACGTAAACAAGTGTGTTTACGAGTTTATTGTTATCATTCCTCAATTATTAAATAGCAAGAAAGCGAACAAGTGAGAGAATTTAAAGTTGAGATATGCATGACATCCATAAAATCAACCTTTTTACTTCTTTTTTTTCAATATCTTCTCGATCTTTTCTAACTCACGAGTTCATGATTACCTTTTAAGTTATCTTTGATCTTAATTGTAAAGTTCGTTTGTTTTTTAATTGATGATGAGCAATTTTATACTTTTGTTCAACTTTATTTGCCTGAAAATTAACTGCTTCACTAAACAAATGAGTAGGAGCTTAAGATATTGCACCTCAGATACGACAAAATATTTTCCTGATATATCAAGTAATTAATGAGGGTGTGGTATTAGAAGAACTTGTCACACAATGTACATTTTCTCAGGCCTCATAAGCTTAGTTTATTTTCTTATTAATCTCCTTCATTATTATAAATGAAATTAAACTTGAAGTCCATACATCATAAACCTATATTAAACTTAGCCAATGCTTGGTTAGCATCATGTTCCACTTTTTTGACAATTCCATGGCCTACCCATTGATTTTTTTTTCTCTCTTTGTTTCCTCGAGAAAATTACCAATCCATAAATAGTTAAAGTAAACACAGGCACTAATAAACCATTATCAACACTATTTTGGACAAATTTCTATGCTAGCATAGACTTCGATTATTTTCTTTCATGTGTCTTCCTTTCTAATTATTTTATTTAAAATTCCATAAACTTAGAAAAGCTACTTTTTGGGCACCAATTTTGGTTCACAATAGTAAACCTTACGTTTAGATTTAACCTTAAAACTAGGCAAGTTTTCTAAAACAGTACAACGCGTGGAGAAGACTACGAAATGGTGAGTTGATGACGAGAATGCAAGCTAAAGAGAGTGACGTGTCAAAATCAGAGTGCATCGCAAGCAACAGTGGCAACCCAACAAATAATAAGAACCAAGTGGAAGCCACGTTGACCAAAATCAAAAGACTAGCGTACAGAAAGAAAAGACTAGCGTACACGCATTTGCATGATACAAACTATGTATCAGCAGTTTCTTATTCTGCTGCCATATTGACATCAAACGGTACATATTAGCTGGATTACTTGACATCACACCAACGTAACATTGGAGGCAAAAAATAGAAAATTGATTAAATTGAAAATTAATATATATTTATATATATATATATATATATATAATACTGTAATTTATTTTTATTTTTAGATTTTATTCATAAAACTAAACTAAATTAAATTGAATTGAACTACATTTACAATAAATTTAAATTATATTTTATTATAATTTATATAAAAATTAGTTATTTATTTAATTTTATCATAACATTGTATGATAAATAGTACATCACTTATATTTATTTTACATTTTCATTATTTTCAATTGAATATCTTTTTTTTCTCTCTATCAATAACTTATTTTTTATTTTTTTATCTTTTTAATTATCATTTATTTTTATTTTTTAATAAAATCATTTCAATTTTAATTTATTACTTACTTTAAACTTAAAAATAGATTAAAAATTATATAATAATAATTATAATTTCAAAATAAATAATTTAATAATAAATAAAAATTGAAAAAAATTCTAATCAAACTGATATTTTATAAAATTTGATTCAAATTTCAAATTATATTTAAACTAAATTACATATTATATTTATATATTGTTCAAATATTTTAAATAAAATTTGAAACGAATCGAACCGCCAGCAAACACTTTAGCAAGAATAGTAATCTTTAACAGGACATTTTACAGCTACCATTTTTTAATTATTATTTTAAAATGTTTTCAATTTTTTGATAATTTTAAAATAATAAATACATATAATTTTATTCAATATACTAGTTATAATTCTATATATTGTAAAAAAATATTTTAAATTTTTTAAAAATAATTTAAATATTTACAATATGTTAAATGAAACTTTTATATAGTACAAAAATAAAATGTACAAAAGCTATAAATTAGAATTTAATGATTGAGAAAAAAACATAACTATTTATGAAAAGTAAGCTATGAATAAATTAATCTTTTATAATAATGTAATGACTTTATTTATAATTATTACAAATGTTCAATTTTCTTTAATATCTAATTATATAATTATTTTATAATATTCTGATCAACAATTAACATCTTATTCTTACTGCCTAATAGTAAGCGTTAGAAATTAAGCTTGACATTGAAAAATTAAATTTTATATTCTAAATAAAACTACATATATTCTAATTATATGTGACAATTTAAATCTATTTTATTTAACTTTAAAAATAATCACTTACAATATAATATTTACTTTTTTAAATCTATGCAACATTATACAATATAAGAAAATATATAGTAAACTTTTATTAAAAAATTACTATATATAACTTTTTATCTTATACACGAGGTTAAAAAAAAAATTGAATTCCATATTATACTTGAACAAAATTAATTTAAATTGTTACATATAATTAAAATATATGTAGTTTTATTTAGAATATAATATTTAACGTTTCGATGCCAAAATAAACATAAGCTTAATTTCTAACGTCTGCTATCAATTTCAAGTTACTCGTCAAGTTATGGATATATTTTTAGGTCTTGTTTTTAATATCTCTAAAGTGTTTGTTTGATAAATAATAAATAAAAATAAAATTACAATTAGATTAGATTAAGAATTATGGAAACATGTATTAATAAGATTTTATAAAAGTTATTATTTCATAATTTTAAAAGTTTTCAGCTTTTTAAAATGTCAATCACGTTAATTCTTATGATATCAGTCATTTTCATTTTTTTAAAACCAACAAGGTCAACATATAAATATGTTGATAATTTAAAATGGTAGTTATTTTTAAAAAAATTAATGATTAATGTAAAGTGAATAATACGTTAAGAACTAGATGAAGCTTTATTATCTTATGCGGTGATTGGTTTTCATGTGTTTCTTGAATTTATCTTTTAATTTTTAAACTTTAACCAATTAGATATGGCATGAATGCATGATTTTCTTTGAAATGGGTTTCACCTAATTGCTTGGATTGGGAAAATTGTATGGGGTTATTATTTACCCGAGACAAACCGCGTACCATGGCCGCTATCCACTGTTTTTCAATCTAATCTCACACACCATACCAACCAATCACCAATTGCCATGTCATAAAACAACACCAATGACAAGATGGTCAACGCGTTAACCATCGCGTGTTCAGTCACGTGACACCCCACCCGACAAATACAAGGACTCATTGTGTCACAAAGCCTTTGTAACTGCGGGACACACCCACACATTTCATCTATTTTCACCCGCACACAATTTAAACTTAATTTTTATAAAATATTTTTATTAAAACATAATTTTATTTTTTATAAATTATTATTTTTAATTTAGTTTTTATAAAATAATTTATAAAATATAAGAATTATATTTTAATAAAATATTTTATAAAAATTAAATTTGAATTATGTAAATTTTATTAGAATTAAATATTTTAATTAAGCCAATACAGTTATTAATTTAATTTTGAAGTGAATAAAATTTTAACATACAAAAAGTATTAATATTATTTCATGTATATGGAACTCAATTTATTTACAAATAATAATGCGGCAGTTACAATATTCTTCCACTACTCGGTGATGGTGGCTTCTATGTACTTTCCTTTCTTTTTCCCATTTCAGATTTAAACCCGCTTTCCCTCAAACTCATCTTCAAGGGACCCTTTGTGAAGAAAAATTGAGACTTTTGTTGAGGTGGGTTTGAAGTAGTTTGAATCTTTGAGACCTGAGAGAGACCCAAAAGAGAAAAAAATGTCAAGGAGAGATCTAGAAAGTGGAGGGGTAAGCAAGAACAACAGAGCAGTGGCCAACAACTATTCTGCTGCTCCTACTTCCTATGTTTATGATCCGGATATTCATTGGACATCGTGGCTTGTGCCTCTTTTTGTGGCGGTTAATGTTGTGGTTTTCATTGTGGCTATGTATGTTAACAATTGTCCCAGGAAAAATCTTGGGATTGAAGGTGATTGTGTGGCTAGGTTTCTGGGCAGGTTTTCCTTCCAGCCTCTTCGGGAAAACCCATTGTTTGGACCCTCTTCCTCAACGTAAGAGCTGAATTTGCTGAATTTTGTTTTATGCTAATGTTTTGGTTTTCTTTTTATTTGAATTAGTTCTTATTTGATTTTGTGTTGCCTTTATTTATTATGTTCTCAGTAGGTAATCTAGCACCCCCATCGTGTTGAAATTCCTGTGATTTTGATTTTGTTTAGCTTATTGGGTAGTGAAATTTGGTTAATTTAATGAATTGGGTGTTTCTTTTTTCTGATCTATTTGCATGACTGGCTTTATTCTGATGTCAACGTTCTAGGGAAAGGAGTTTGTTGATTCTGTGAAATGAATTTCGAACTATTTTCTTTCATTCCTCGAGTAAATAATGGGTGAACTTAAGTGAAGTCAAATTTTCATTTTTGATATAAATGAACTTACATAAATTGAATGAATCAGTGGATTTGTTGTCTTTTTATTGCACAATCATGATTTTTTTCGCCTTTTGTTTGGATACTAGCTTTGTTGGTGATAATTTAAAATGCTCTCGTCATCTGTCTGTCTACTACCCTTTAGCACAAAATAAAGGGCGGTGATTAATTTCATCTTTGGTGCTGGTCAGAAATAATTGATTATTCAAATAAATAAAACATACGCAACTCTTAGGAAGTATGGTGGTACAAATTTTTTAAGAAAGTTGATTGATTTAATTTTTGTTTCATTTTTGAAGTTTAACAAAGATGGGAGCACTTCAGTGGGATGATGTTGTGAATCATCATCAAGGATGGAGGCTTGTCACTTGCATATGGTTACATGCTGGAGTTGTGCATTTGGCAGCGAACATGTTGAGTCTGGTCTTCATTGGCATTCGCCTTGAACAACAGTTTGGGTTTGGTATGTGTCCTTTTTCAGGAAATCATCCTGTTTTTGAAGCAACACCATTTAGTGAATCATACTCAAAATCAGGAATAGAAAACATTTAAGCCTTCAGTTTTATACCTAAGATCACCTATTTGGATGCTTACTTTTCTATCGGGTATTTATGTTCTTTAAGTTTTGAATTATAAATGGTTATGACCTAACATTTTGTTAAATCATTGCCAGTGAGAATAGGAATCATTTACCTGTTGTCTGGATTTGGTGGAAGCGTATTGTCTTCTCTATTTATTAGAAACAACATCTCAGTTGGTGCTTCTGGTGCACTTTTTGGACTTCTTGGAGCAATGCTTTCAGAACTTATCACAAACTGGAGTATTTATACCAATAAGGTGAGTGTAGTCAATCACCTATCCCCATAATATTTTTGTATTCTGTATTTGGGGTATGCAAAATATCCACTTTTATGAGTCCAGTCCAAAATCAAACTTAATCCAAATTTAAGAATTTGGATTTTTATTACAACTGGTACCATTGAACCATTTAACTTTTTGAACTGGATTATTAAGAAGAACTGGATCCAACCAAAACTGGTTAAGCCAATTAGAACCATAAATACTCCCTATGAAAATGACGGCAAAGCAGGACTAGGTATCATTATCGTTGAATCTTCCAAAGTTAATGCTTACATGCTGGAATTTAGAATTTCCGTAGTTCAAAATTAACTGTGCACCAATCCACCATTAAAAGGATTTAACTCATTAAAAAAACGTGTGAAAATATTGAGTAGCTAGAAAAAAGAGCTGTAAATGCAAGATGTGCGAGATTTAGAATAATCAGTTTTTAGTAAGTAGTGAATTAAAACTAGTTTTAAAACTGGATTGATAGAAATAAAACTGATTTTGAAAAGAATAAATGGTTGGTTCTGAAATCCAATCCTTATGAAGGGTTCTTAAAAAGATAAATTTGGCTTTATATTAAACTTATTCATGCACACCCCTATTCTAAATGCTTGTAGTTCTTTGATTCAAAAAGGAAAATGGTTAACGTTACGGAAATATTTTGATGAATTATTGTAAGATATTCCATCAATAACCACTGATAGATTACTTTTTTTGTACACTCACTGAAACTGAATCAGAAAACAATATGATAGCTTAATGTTTAAATTCATAACAGTCCACACGAACCAATTCATGCTGAATAGCAGAGTTGATTTGAAAACCACTTTCAGTCTTCTAAGTTTTTTTCTTTTTTACCATCAATTAGATTAAATTACTTACATCTAGGTAATACTTGTATAGCATATACTTAACATTCATTTCTAACTCACATTTTCTTCATTTTGTAGGCTGCTGCTTTGTTCACACTTCTGCTTATTATTGTCATCAATCTTGCCATTGGAATGTTGCCACATGTTGATAACTTTGCACATATTGGTGGATTCCTCACAGGATTTCTCCTTGGTTTTATTTTGCTGCTCCGTCCTCAATTTGGGTGGTTAGAGCAGCGACACCTCCCTACCGGGGTTCGCCTCAAATCAAAATTCAAGGTTTACCAATATGTGCTATGGATTGTCTCCAGTATTTTATTGATTGTTGGGTGAGTTCTTTCTTAAATCCTTGTACACAATAATATTGTGATTGGTATAGGAGAGGAAATTATATTTGTTTGCTATGTGATAATTGTATAAACAAGGTTTTAAATTTGATCGGGCTTATTTGATAGGCAGAATAAGGGAACAGTGTAGAATAATTTCTCTCATCTTATCTTGTTTATGGAGTTCTTTTAACCAACAAGATATGATAAATCTATCCTATATGCTTATTTATCCTATTCTCTAGCGTAAATCTTATCCTGTAGGAGGGTTTGGGTTAAAAATAGACAAGATATAATTATCATAATGTATCTAATTCATTGTCTTTATACAAGATCAAATATAAAATAAGATAAGAACCCATCGTATTCTATTTTATTCTTTTCTGATCGTACTCTCATATCATGTTCATCAAATAGGTGGTGATGTCAGATCTCATGGTCTGTTAGGAAATGGAAAGCTAGTTAGTTGTTGCTTAAGCTACTCCATATCAATTGATGCTTATTATGTCATTTGCTTTGCTTTTAGTTTATAGTTTATCTTCAACTTGTGCATTTCTCTTGTTATCACCATGTAGATATTCTCTAATCATTGAATTCATTTGTTGAATGGCAGGTTATCTGTTGCTCTAGTGATGCTATTCCGGGGTGAGAGTGGATATGATCACTGCCATTGGTGTCACTACCTAACGTGCGTTCCAACTTCTAAATGGAAATGCAATGACAATTGAACATAAGGGCATGAGCTATTCCTGTTCTTATATGTATAGCTATAGCTCTTTCAAGTTGGTTGTTTTATCATTTATTTTACTTTGTTAATTCCTTTAAAAGACGAGTTATTGGTTTGTCTATGGATTTATGTGCATAATATATATATACATATATATATAGAAATTTATTTGTACATGAAATTTATTTTCATTTTCCATTTATATTCTGCTTGGATTTCCTGTTGCCTAGTTCTTTCTTACTTATAATTTATCGCTTCCCTTTAATCTTTTTTTATCATAGTTTGAATAGATATATTAAATCCTACCCTTTCCTTTTATTCTCTTTCACATTGATAATGTAAAACATTGAATTCAGAAACATGGTTCAAAATCTAAATTGCCATTTTTAAGAAACCGCTACTAGGAGATAATCAACACTGATAACCTAAACTTCAGATTCATGCTCTATAATTATAGTAAACGTGTTACTGTAATTCCATTGCAAAAGTTAGAGACCTTCAATGTGTTAGACTGATCTAACCAACAATATCACGAGTATTTGCATTTAGTATGTTGTTCATTCCAATTATGAGATATTACAAAGTTATATAAATTTGCCTGCGAGTTTGGAACAGTAATTTATTTACATAAAAATCATATTGAGTCAGTCTGTGGCTACTGAAGGTAGCCCGTTTATCGATCCTATTTGGTAATATAAGTTGTTTAATTGTGTATTAGAATTTTTTTACCAAAATAAATAAACAGATAAAATTGTGTATTAGAATGATCTCTCTCTCTTTTTTTTTTTTTTGTCTTCTTGAAGAAGAAGAGGAGAAGAATGATCTTTTAAGTTTGAATAATTTGCTTATCTAAAATGCTTTAAGCAAATTAAATTCATAGCTCTCTTGCTTATATATCACTAAGTACAACTAGATTTTGGCTTGGTTATGACTTGTATTTTTTTTTTTTTTAATATTTTTAATGCCACATGTTTTATTTTTTTGTTTGACTTTTTTTCCCTTCTAATTTTAGACTTCTTATTTTTTATTTTTTTTATTTATCAAATTCTAATATCATATAATGATTTAAAGTGACTTGTGAAGTTGAGTGGACTGATTTATTTTCCATATCTATGTCTAACTTTAGTAAATGTATTATTGAATTCAATTTTTATATAAAAATTAAAGATATATTCATAATTATTTTCAATTTAATAAATTTTATACATTAGAAAAAGAAGAAATACTTATTTATTAATAATAAATATTCTACTATATTAAATAAGTAAAATTAAAAAAATATGAAAATTTTAAAATTGAAATTGAATTAAATAATTAAATGTTCAAGAGAAATCACATGGCATCGTGGAAAAGATAACTAAATCCTAAAAATGATATTTTTAATATAATTATTTGATATTTCATTTATCCCTATCAAATAATCTATCCCTATTTTTTTTTACCAAACATTCTAATTATGTTTTATTTAGATGATTTTTGCTTGATTATCCATGACATGTTGTGTTTATTTAAAATCAGTTCATAACTTTTCCTTCTCTTTGTACTAATTTTTCATTGTATTTAAAGTACTGTAAAAATATAAGTAAAATATCTAAAATGATTTTAGATCATGACAATTATATGTTTTTTTTTTAATTTCTAATGATATGAGTTGTATATATGAAATATTAGTATAACTGTAATTCAATAATATTAGGATTGATATAAAAGGTAAGTTATGCATGCAATCTATGTAAATATTAAAAATAATAGTAGAAGATGTTTTAGGTATGTAAATATTAGAAATAATAGTAGATATTTTAGGAATATTTGTAATAAGAGTACATCACATTTGCATCTTTGTATTTATATATTTTTAGTTTATGTTGTAATAAAAAAGACATAACATGATTAGTGTAACATTTTCAAAAATTTAGATCAATTTTTAAATTTTAATCAATGTCTATTAATATATTTTGAGGGAGGATTTTTTTTCTTCAATTTTTATTATCTTAAGTAACTGCTGTTATTTTTTTTCTCTTTCTTCTTGATTGCCTCCTGATAATTAATTCTATTTGACTATGTTTGATTTAGGATTATTTCTATTATTTTTGTTTGATTTGGTTGTTGCATGTTACGGTGAGAACATCTTAACATGAATTTGTAATACGCAAACTATAATCTGAATGTAAGCATTGGACCCCATTTTTCCTCTTAATGACAATTCCCTTATAATTACATGTGAGACTTTTCTCCTTTTTATTTGGATTTTTTTTTCCATCACTGTGATGAATGCCTCGAAATGTTCCTCTTAAAAATTTGATGTCATTAGATTAAAGAAACTTTGTTTTCCACCTTTTACAATCACCCTGCGAGAGAATCCCTCCAAATTGCATTAATGAGGGCGTGATTACTCCCCACTCTCCCAAAATTATGATATTGGGAGTTGTTCCCTTTTGACGCATTAAAATCACATGGAGATTTTAGGAGGAAAAAGTGTAACTATCCTTCACTATCTTGTTTTCTTACATTAGCACCTTTTAAATGCCTCCACAAGAACGACGCCCCTATGAAGTATCCGTTTTATTCCTACATGGCCCCTACCTTCTTGAACTACATTGAGTATCTGAGTATCACCTCCTCACCTTCCCATGCATCGTTTCCTTGGTTAATCTCTTTTCTATGCTTCATTTAATACCTCATTAAAACCTCCACCCACAATCATTCTCATTCCTTGCACTAAATTCTCGAAGAAAGTTGCAAAGAATAAGGACGTAATTTATTTTCTACCAATTGAATATCATTATAACCAGTCACTTGTATTTAAATGCCTCAATGAATATACAACTCACATTGATTATTCAAATTTCATGTGCCTTTTCACTAAATCCACGTTCAATTAATGCCTTTCACTTTCTCTTCCATCTTAAATCGCCTCAGCATTGAATACCCAAGAGCCATTCTAATGATTGTAATCCTTGCATGGCGCAAGTGACCTTGGTAAGACGCGAAAGACTTCAAGACTTAATGGAGGGAGGTGATGTGTCACGCATAAATCTTGTAGTGGAAAGAGAGAGAGATAGAGAGTATGGACGAGTTTAATGGTGAATTAGGGGGCAATCTCTCTTAATAACTTTTAACCAAGCAGCTGACACCTAATGGAGTGAGGTGAATTGGTGAGTGTTAGCTATTAACCTCCCTTGTATATTGGTTTGTATATAAAAGGAAGTTTAATCCTCTTTAGCTAGCTTTTTCCCTCAAAAGAAACACCATTTGAGAAGAGATCGAGAGGGCAAAAGACGTGAAAACCATTCTTTAAACTGCACTCACTTCACTACCTTACTCATTCAAGCTCTTCACTTCCAATTCTCCAATGCTGATAACTATAAGGCTGCTCGCTCAGAATCCTACCCTAAGAAAAGGAACCTTTACACTTCTTCTCCTTTTTCTTTCTCATGATCAAGCTAAGGTAAGAGGGAGTCCTAGTGTTTTTGAGTTATTTGTGTGTGAAATAGTGTTTTTTATGCTTTTTCAACTTCACATAATTCTAAATAAATATACTTAGTTGCATGCGTAATATCCCTCTAACTCCTTTGCGTTTCTTCACAACTAGACTAAGTGAAAAAGTATTTTAAATTGTTGCATGGTGAGTGATCATGATGAAGTTTATACTGCATGTTATTGTCCTCTTATTCTCTACTCTTCTTCACCCTTTGCATGATTTCCTTGACTAAGTTTGGTGGCTGATATTATATGAACATGAAAGTATATAATTTTCACTTAATAGTAATAGTTCCTTGAAAATTTTTTCTTTAGAGTGAGGTCCCTTAAGTCATTAGCGTCTCCTCTATGACATTTGGATTATATAGTGTTATATGAATGGTGAAAATATATCTTTGCAATTGAGTGTTCTTGCTATCATCTTGCATGATTAGATGACTTGACTAATTACATGTAAATAATTTAGGAAAAATATATAGAATAATGTTCGAATTGAATCCTCAGAGAATATTTGTGAATCCTTGATATGAATCTACTAATTGAACTGTCATTATGATGGTTGTGCCTTTGTGGTAAAGAATTTAAACTTGCAATTCTTGTACACTCACTATTTAAATGAATAAAAAGAAAATTTTCACTCACTGTATTGAGTATTTGAAACGCAGATTCATGTTTGTTTATTTAATCCACAATAATTGATAGGTTTCTTCAATTCCTTCTCTGCTCACCCAAATCGCAATTATTTGCATGTGTTTAGAATAAAAGTTGATACTGGTTGGATTATATGATAAATGAGTTTGAGTTATTCTCTATATTCTGAATTAGAGTATAGTAGACTGCTTTCTTTAAAATTCTATATTACATTGAGATTAAGATGCATATTATGTGCAGAGGAAAACCCTCTTAGTTTAACAATCCAAACGTCTGATTGTCTCCCTAGATATATTCAAATTCCAGCATGACTCATGATAGTATCTCTTATTATTCAAATTGAGCAATTGCTTAGTTTTGTAAGTCCTGAAATATACCTTGTGTGATTCATTTTATCCTGTTGATCTTCGTGTTCCCTAACATTTCGATAATTTAATTGCATTATAAGGTTCTATGATGACATGTCTATGAGTACAACACATGTTTTTAGTGACATTTATGGTGAACATATGCTTATTAGTTGAGACTTTAATGTATTTCGTTCAATTAGTTTGTTTACTCATCCCCTTACTATTTTGTATACTCATCCCCTTACTATTTTTCTGTCTAAATAAATGAAAGTAGAGATCTTACGGAGTATGAAAATTCTGCACCTCTCTCTCTCTCTATATATATATATATAGTGGATATTAGTATGTTGAATTGTAAGTTATTTGACCCTTAAATTTCAAAACAAGTGTACTCGATAACATTGCAGAATTCTAAAGTCTTCATCTCTTTTAGGTTGCGTCATATCTTGGTTATGAATGGACTATTGAATGCTAGCAATAACAAAAATCTCTCTGTAATTGTGGACTTTGACTGTATTCTGTGTTTTGATTGATTAAGGACATATTGTATTTATGGACTATTGTAGATGTTGTTTCTAGCTTTGAATATTGGTTATTTAAATTGTAAATTCTTGTAGTTCCATAGTGATTTTATTTAGCA